CTGGAAACGGAGGGTCTACAGGGGTTCAAGGAGGAGATATCTGTTGCTTGTGCCGAGAGAGAACAGAATCTAAGGAAGGAGAACGAGGATAAGGAGGGTCTAGAGTGTGCGAAATGTTGAAAGAAGGAATAGGGTTCAAGAATTACCCACATGGACCAATGGATGCAGGGACAAAGCTTACGGTCAAATTCAGGACCGGGCACATAGGCCTTCGAGAACGTCGACGAAGACATAGGACGGTAGACGAGGAAGACGACGAGTTCAAATATGATTGCGGCTTCGAATGCGAAGACCGTATTCATTTAGTCGCGGAATGTCCGTTGTACAAGAAGGAGAGGGAAGTGTACGTGACTGAGCTGGGAAAAATAGATGGAACGTACAGGGAGATGTTTGAGGCATGGAATAGAGAGGAAAGGACGGTAGCTGTAGTGGGGCATAGGAGGTGGGTTGAAAAGGCGGGAAGGGATATCGTTAAGATAGACAGACTAGGGAAGACATTGTTGAGCCACATTTGGCAAAGTAGAAAGGAACGATTGGCCATCGGGGTTGGGTTTTCGTCGCTTGGCAGCGATGTTGTAAAACAACCCGATCACTTCGTGAGCTCAACAACTAGGTTAACTCATTTTTGTTTGCCTTTGTTTTTTGTTGCGGTAACCATGAATGGTGGTCGAGTACCGATCATGCAGTGCGGGGTCGAGAACCCTCACTCCGCGCAAAGGGGATAATCGCACCACGTTGTGTTGAATTCGCCAAGCACCCTCACGGCAGTTACACAGTGCGTACGACTGTCTCTGGAAGTGAAAGCACCCGAAAAAAACTAAGTCATAAAACTAAGTCATACGCAGCTGTCATCCGTACGAGAAAGTAAGCACAAGATGCCGAAAACCCTTGGCAGGATGCAGCGCACCCTTCATGCGACTCGCCGAATATCTCACGGCGCTTCGCGCTTGGTGATGTGAGAGCCTGGTCCGGTGAGAACCCGGCGTGCTCCGTCCCGGCTTTGTAGGGATGCGAGATCAATGGTCTAACGACTACGGCATGCACGACTATGGGTCCCCCCCGCCCCGCCCCCGCCCCGTGACACGTCACGCTCCACGCACACACACACCTTCCAGCCTGAGCATCCTCCTTAGGTCTGATTCTTCCCCGTCCGATTCACCAGCCGCCTCCCCCCCGCCCCCAACCCCTGCATGCCTCCCGTGGTCCGTCTGCGTCCGCGGGGCCAAGAGGTACACGCCACAAAACACCTACCGGAGGGACAGATGGGCCGCATAGGACCAAGTAGCAGCAGTAGTGGCAACAGCAGCAGCAGCACCAGTGGCGAAAGCAGCAGCAGCAGCAGCAGCAGCAGCAGCGGCAGCAGCGGCAGCAGCAGCAGAAAAGGGGGAGTAAAACTAGCGCACGTCGAAAGCTTCGGCCACAAGAAAGGGGCGCTGGAGGTCCCTAACGCCACGAGCAAACAAAAACCATGCACCCGCGACCGGCGGAGAACTCGCCACCACACACTGCTGCTGCGGTGCTGTGTGTGACACAGCACACCAACTCAGTGAGACGAGCAAGAAATAAATCAGCAGTACATCAGCGGTTTCGGTCCTCACCACTAACACCCCAACGGCGAAACCCAAGCCCCCCAAAACATGCAGCGTGTGGAACTCCTCGAAGTAGAAACCGCCGTCGATCACCGAGAAGAAGGTCCAGAACACCTGCTCACGGACGACGAATCGACGAACGGACGACCAAGACAACACAGACCAAGCAGCAACGAGCGGCGCCCCAAAGAGACTCAGGGAAGTGGCGGCAGCAGCAGCAGCAACAGCAGCAGCAGCAGCAGCAGCAGCAGCAGCAGCAGCAGCAGCAGCAGCAGCTTCTGTCGGTGTCATCCAGCTCGTTTCGTCATCTCATCCGGTCGAGCACGGACGGTGTTACAGCCGCAAGCTCTCGCTGCGGTGACACTGGCGTGACATGCACGGCCTCGCAGGTGACCTCTACAGTAGCAAAGTATCATATATATATGGTAGTGCCAGCTGTAGCGCCGCAGCAGAGTCTTTGTGGTACGAGATGGTACTGACATGGAAGGGGGAGCAAGCAACGCTGTCTAAGAGCGTCTGACAGCGGTGTGGGCTAAACACAACGCTCAACCATCACTTTCGCGCTGCATACGTCACCACNGGGGGGGGGGGGGGGGGGGGGGGGGGGGGGGGGGGGGGGGGGGGGGGGGGGGGGTGCATCAGGGAGCCTACCAACGTTGCAACGACCCAGGCAAAACTACCTATCCATGGCACCATTCAAGGATGCTTTTCTAACCCTGATGCTGACATTAGTACCAACTTTGGTCCGCAGAAGACTCGACAGCTACACAACCAACAGAAGCCTGTCCACAGCATCACAGATCTCAGCGCAAAACGAAAGGTGACGCTGCTGTGGTGGTATGTAGACACCAAACCAGGGCACATTCCGCTCGGCCGTGCACTGAAAAACGCTGCCTCTGCATTGATCTGTTGGCAGACCTCTCTTCTCAAAAACGCACAGAATTTCTACTGCCACGCTCTTGTGTAGCTAGAAGAGTCTCTCAAGTCACCTGTAGGGCAGGAATGATGAAGAGCCCGTGGAACATTGCCAGGGCCCGGTTCATCCTCACCAGCCAGAATATCGTCGTACCGAGCCAGATAGCGAAAACCAGGTACGTGAAAATCGAGCCCTTCATACATTGCAACGGGGTAGCGAGTGCGTGCGTTCGTGCATGTTGCAGAACCGTCAGCAAACGCCGGGANGGGGGGGGGGGGGGGGGGGGGGGGGGGGGGGGGGGGGGGGGGGGGGGGGGTGATCAAGCAAACGTGGCGGGAAACGTCTAAAACGCCCCAGCCTCCACAGACAGAGAGGGGGGGAAGCAAGAGTTTACTACAGTGTACGTGTGTACCTTGTGACCCGTGTTGTATAAGCCTATGATTAAGCGAACCAACCTGTGTTCTGTGTTCCGCTGCCTTTGAAGAATGGGTAGCGTTGGAGACGTTCTTGCTGTCAAGACGAAGCCAACAAAAAAAACACAAGACACACAAACACGGCAGCAGCAACGACAACATCAACAACAGAACAACAGCAACAACCACAGCAATTGGGTTGCATTCAATCACCAGCTGATTCTCCCCCCGAAAAGTCAGCGTCAGCAGCTCGCTCAAGCACTTCGCGTTCACAACGCTCTGCGTGCCCACGATGGCCGAGCAGATGGCGTAGGCGAGGGGCATCACCAGGTCGGAGTGGCGCCTCGGCCTACCCTGCTCCTTGCTGCGCTTGAAGCTCTTGTAGGCCGCGTGCATCGCGAGTGCTATGGCCAGCTCCAGGAGCAGGAGGGTGTTGTACTCGGCGTCGTAGAAGGCCTTGAGCTCGTGGGTGCTGAAGTTGTCGTCCTGGCATGTGGGGGGGGGGGG